GGATCTATGTGTTAGGTGTGACTTTGGAGAGCCTGTATGTTGACACTCAGATCTATGTTTCTGCGTTGCTAAAGAATTTGCGTGGTATGTCTTGTACTGGAGCTTATTGGCTCTTGGGTGGTGGTTGGTTTTGGCGTAGGTATGGAAGCTTTTGGATGGTCTCTTATTCCTTAATGTTCCGTGTAGTCAGGAGTTTTCTGGTTTTCTCAAGATTTGGGCTTAAGTCTCCTGCCTCTGGATTTCAGTTTTATTCTTCCAATAGTCTCAAGACTTCTCCAACTATACAGCACTGATAATAAAACTTCTAGGTTAATGGTGAAAAGATTCTCCACCGTGAGAGACAACCAGAGAGGTTCACAGAGTTACATGAAGAATAGGAGAGGGAAGAAGGAGATAGAGGTGATCAGGAGGATAAAAAGGGGACTCAAGAGGAGAGAGACAGATCTACACAGTTATCTGTTCCCAAAGTGTTTTCCGTAGCCCAGACACCCACAAAGATTCACAGAGTTGGATTGGGAAGAGAAGGGGAAAGGAGGAAATAGAGGTGTTCCGAGGTAGAAATCAGAGAGTCAGAAGTGGGAGAGTAATCACCACACTCCTGAATAGAAATGGGAACTGAATATTGGATTCTTAAATGACCAAAATTTATATCACATACTACTGAAAAACAAAGATTAAAAATCTAGTGTAGAGGTTAGACTCTTTGAAATACAATATTTAAAAACAAAAACACACACAAAAATTTAGAAATGTATATGAAGTTCAATTTAAAAACAGGGTTTTTCTCTCTTTTTTTTTTTTTGGCAAGGTTATAGTGAAATGAAAATGAAAATTAAGGGATAATAGAGGAGTATTAGAGGACTTTAAAAGGAAATAGGAGAGAAAAACAAGAAAAAGAAAAAAAAAGAAAAAAAAAATTTTTTCCCCTAATTAAAAAAATTGTAAAAATATATGAAAATGAAAGTTGAGGAGTAATGGGGGAGTAATAGGGAATTTTAAAAGAAAATAAAAGAGAAAAAATTTTTAAAAAGGAGACAAAAAAAAATTTTTTTTTAATTAAAAAAAATATATATATATATATATATATATATATATATATATATATATCTAGGAATTTCTCTGGAGTTGTTGCAGTCAGCGTAGGTTCAGTTCAATTTCAGATAGCTCCTCTTTCCAGCTTACACTTCTCGATATCTGTAGGCCCCTTCTGGTGTAGTCGGTGTTATCTTCAGGGATTTTAGTCTGTTGCACCGGTCCTTTCTGAAGCGGTTCCCTTTGTTTATTTGGCTTCTGTTTGCCGTCTCTTTGGTGTCTAATTTCCGCCCTGACACAGGCGGGTGGAGGTGATCTCTTATTTAGGTTCTCTAGTTCAGTTCAGTCCTGCTACGGGGAGGGCGGGGCGCTGCAGACAGATACCGCTCTGTGTGGACAGCACTCACCGTGTTCCGGTCACACTGGGTTTGCCCCACTCACGGGTGTCAGTGCTTTTGCCGTCTACACTGCTCAGGCTCCCGGCTGCTCTATATGGAGCGGGCCCTGCGTTGAGTGCGGTTCCAGTTTTCAGGTACTCCACAAAAGCGCAGATTCGGTTGCGCCTGCGTTTTGTGCCTTCCCCGGCCTGAGCGGTTCAGGCAGCCAGAGGCTTGGGCGTACTCTCCCTGGGTGTGGCACGCCTTTTCCCTCCGCGTGGAGCGGCCCAAGGGCGTACTCTCCCTGGGAGTGGCGCGCCTTTTCCCTCCGCGTCGAGCAGCCCAGGCAGCCAGAGGCTTGGGCGCACTCTCCCCGGATGCGGCGCGCCTTTTCCCTCCGCGTCGAGCGGCTCAGGCACCCAGGGGCTTGGGCGTACTCTCCCCGGATGCGGCGCGCTTTTTCCCTCCGTGGCGAGCGGCTCAGGCAGCCAGAGGCTTGGGCGCACTCTCCCCGGGTGTGGCGCGCCTTTTCCCTTTGCGGCGAGCGGCCCAGGCAGCCAGAGGCTTGGGCGCACTCTCCCCGGATGCGGCGCGCCTTTTCCCTCTGCGGCGGGCAGCTCAGGCAGCCAGAGTCTTGGGCGCACTCTCCCCGGGTACGGCGCGCCTTTTCCCTCCGCAGCGAGCGGCCCAGGCAGCCAGAGGCTTGGGCGCATTCTCCCTGGGTGTGGCGCGCCTTTTCCCTCCGCAGCGAGCGGCCCAGGCAGCCAGAGGCTTGGGCGCACTCTCCCCGGATGTGACGCGCCTTTTCCCTTCGCAGTGAGCGGCCCAGGCAGCCAGAGGCTTGGGCGCAATCTTCCCGGGTGCGGCGCGCCTTTTCCCTCCGCAGCGAGCGGCCCAGGCAGCCAGAGGCTTGGGCGCACTCTCCCCGGGTACGGCGCGCTTTTTCCCTCCGCGGCCCCAGCGCGCGCCGCCAATCGGGTCTCTGGAAGTCTTTAGATGGGAACCGGGGGCCTGTTTGCAGTGTGGGAGGGGGTGGCTTCTCAGGGGCTGTTTGCCCTTTTCCCCTACCCCCTGCCTCCAACCTCCAGCGGGGATGGGCCGGCTCTTCTCTGGACTTTCTCAGTCCCTTTGTTTTGCGAACCGCCGGCAGTGTGTTCGGGCCTGTTAATTTTGACCCTTGCTATCCCACAGTTTAAAAAAGCTCCCTCCGATTGCTCTCAGGGTCTTCGGGCCAGTCCTTACCCTAAGCAATGCCGCCCGCTCCTCTCCGTCCCGCCCCCGCTTGTTGCTGGCAGGTACGGGTGTCTGGGGTACTTTTCTGCTGGGAGTTGCTTTTAGGCACGTAATCTGTGGGCCTTGTTTAACCTTTCCTCCCAGTTAGATTGCTGAAAACTTCCCCCAGTCCCGCCAGTGCGAGGGTTTCCTGGTGATTGGGAACTTCCTCTATTAAAGACTCCCTTCCCGGGACGCGTCTCCGCCCGTAGCTCTTTTGACTCCCTTTCTATCCTTTATATTTTGTCCTACCTCCCTTCGAAGACAATGGGCTGCTTTTCTGGGCGCCTGATGTCCTCTGCTAGCGATCAGAAGTTGCTTTGTGAAATTTGCTCAGCATTCAAATGTTCTTTCGATGAATTTGTAGGAGAGAAAGTGGTCTCCCCGTCCTATTCCTCCGCCATCTTGGCTCCTACCTCGCAAGTTTGTTTTTGAAGGCTGTGAATCTGTTTCTGTATTGTAAATAAATTCATTTGTATCTTTTTTTAGATTCCACATGAGTGGAATATTTGGTTTTCTCTGACTTCACCTACTATGGTAATCTCTAGGTCCATCCATATTGCTGTAAATATCATTATTTCATTATTTTTTATGGATGAGTAATATTCCATTTTATATTCCATATATATATGTATGTATATACACCACATATTCCTCATCCAGCCATCTGTTGATGGACATTTAGGTTGCCTCCTTGTCTTGGCTATTGTAAACAGTGCTGCAGTGAACACTGGAGTGCATGTATCCTTTTGAATTACAGTTTTCTTTGGATATGTGCCCAGGAGTGAGACTGCTGGATCATATAGTAGTTCTATTTTTAGTTTTTTAAGGAACCTTCATACTGGGGTACCAATTTATATTACCACCAACAATGAAGGAGGGTTCCATTTTCTCCCCACCCTCTCTGGCATTTATTGTCTGTAGATTTTTTTGATGATGCCATCCTGACCAGTGTGAGGTGATACCTTATTGTAATTTTGGTTTGCATTTCGCTAGTAATTAGAAATGTTAAACATCTTTTATTGTGCTTTTTTGCCATCTGTATGTCTTCTTTGAAGAAATGTCTATTTAGATCTGCTCATTTCTTGATTGTGTTGTTTGCTTTTTTGATATTGAGCTACATGAGCTATTCATATATTTTGGAGATTTATCCCTTGTCCATCACTTCATTTGCAAATATTTTCTCCCATTCTGTGGGTTGTCTTTTTGTTTTGTTTATGATTTCCTTTGCTATGCAAAAGCTTTTAAGTTTAATTAGTCTCATTTGTTTATTTTTGTTTTTATTTTCATTACTCTAGGAAGTGGATCCAAAAAGATACTACTGTAATTTATGTCAAAGAGTATCCTGGCTATATTGTCCTCTAACATAGGAAAACATCTTGAAATGTGTTCACAGGAAAACACAAATCTTACATTTGGGTCTTTAATCCATTTTAAGTTTATTTTTGTATATGGTGTTAGAGAATATTCTAGTTTCTTTTTTTTTTTTTTTTTTGCATGTTGCTGTCCACTTTTCCTGATACCATTTATTGAAGAGACTGTCTTTTCTCCACTGTATATTCTTGCCTCTTTTGTCATAGATTAATTGACCATAGGGATTCCCTGGTAGCTCAGCTGGTAAAGAATCCACCTGCAATGCAGGAGATCGCAGTTTGATTCCTGGTTGGGAAGATCTGCTGGTGAAGGGATAGGCTACCCATTCCAGTATTTTTGGGCTTCCCTGTGGCTCAGCTGGTAAAGAATTGACCATAAGTGTGTGGATTTATTTCTAGGCTTTTTTTCTTGTTCTGTTGATCTATATTTCTGTTTTTGTGCTAGTACCATGCTGTTTTGATTACTGTAAGTTTGTAGTGTAGTCTGAAGTCAGGAAGCCTGATTCCTCCAGCTGTTTTTCTTTCTCAGAATTGCTTTGGCTATTTGGGGTCTTTAGTATTTCCATACAAATTTTAAAATGTTTTGTTCTAGTTCAGGCATCAGGAGTTTTTAAAGCTCTCCGGATTACTGTAATGGACATGCAGGGCTGATGTGATGAGGAGGCAAAAGGATGTCAGTATGGTCTGTAGCGAGTACAGCTCCTAGGAAAATGATGAAGGGTTGCCTTGAGGGGCTATGAGATTACTTAGCCTGCCCTTCATCTACTTGTGCACATTTTTGCCCAATCCTGTGACACCAGAGGCCCTCTCTGCAGGCCCCACCACCACCTCACCCTCCAGTGGTGGTTTCAGAGACCCCATTCCATCTGGCTCTCCACCTTCCCCCAGGTCCCAGCAGGGCAGCCTTGCACCCTGCCCACCCCTGCTTCTCTCCCTCCTCCTGCAGGTCCCGCCCTGTGGTTCAGATCAATGCCAGCCTCCACTTTGAGCCATCCAAGATCAACATCTTTCACAGGGATTGCAAACGCAGCGGCAGAGATGCCACCTGCCTGGCTGCCTTCCTCTGCTTCACGCCCGTCTTCCTGGCACCCCATTACCAAACTGCGACAGTCGGTAAATCCGGCCCCTCCCCACTCCCGCAGCTCCAGTCTCTCCCTGAGGACTTCGTGTTTGCTCTGTTTCTAAATCTGGGCTTTTGCTGAAATGGGCTTTGAGTGCCAGGGTCACACCTAGAGCCCCATTTGATGACTTCTAGATGCCCACTCAGTGCTCTCATTCCAAAGGGCAGAGAGGGGGTCTCATGCCAGGAAGAGGATGGCAGTGAGCAGGGGTGACCAATGTGGGAGAGGCTGGGGAAGGTGGAAGCAGTCAGAGATAGTGTATGAATCAGAACAGGGGACCAGAAGCTGTCCAATAGCTTAGGGTGTAGAAGCTGTGAAGTCAGATTCAAAGAAAGAGTCAGACCCATGAGGGATCTGAAACAGGGGATCAGGTGGCTAAAGACCCAAGTAGCAATGGTTTCTGCTCAGAGTGAGCTTGAGTCCACAGCAGGACAGTTTCCCTCTGAGGGTCCTCTCAGCCAAGGCTGGGATCAAACACTGGCTTGTGACAGCCCTGGGCCCAGTCATCCTCAGAAAGTGGCAGCTGCAGGTTCCAGGACCAGATTAGGCCTGTGCAAGAAACTGGGACCACAGAGAGCTTCTTAGCCAAGGAGGACCAATCAGATGATTAAAAACTGGGTGTTCCACAGGGGAGATGAGAACAAAGGCAAGCCTGGGTGGTGGTGTCCTTCTTTCATCTTCTATGAAAGGAGAATGATACCGAGAACCTGGCACACCCAGAGTGCTGCTGGGGTACCAGAGAAGGGGCTGGCTTTTCTTACATTTAGCAAAAGATCAACCCAGTTGAAAGGCAGGAGAATGCAGTTTTTAACCTCAGAACAGTCTTAGGTTTGAGGAGCTGGTGGGCAGGGCCTGGCCAGTCCTCCCTAGTGTGATGGGAACTGCCACCTGCAAACACTCAGATCCAGGCCCGACAGGATCCCAGAGCTGAGGACGAGACCTAGGAAGGTGACAGGAGAGGGTCAGAGCTGTGTTGACTCCAGAAGGGGCCCATGACTCCACTGTGACGCCTATACTGTCTTCTCACCTCTTCCACTGCATTCACTCTCCCCTCCATCTCTTCCTCTTTCTTTATCCCTTCACTGTCAGTTCCATCTTCCTTTCTCCTTCTTCTGCCTCCCTCTTCTCTTTAGTTCCTTCCTTTGGCTTTTCTCACTGTTTTGCTTGCTCTCCATGTGAGAGTTTCCTGCCTACATGAGCTTTAGGAGGGGAGAGGAGTAGGTCTTCTTTGGCCATCCTGGAGGGCTTCCTGGAGGAGGCTGACTTTCCAAAGGCTATTTGTAAGGGGAAGTAAACAGTCTTTGGTGGAAATGTGGCTCCACCTCCATGGTCTTGCCCTCTCCTTCCTCCAGGCATCAGGTATAATGCCACCATGGATGAGAGGCGGTACACACCACGGGCCCACCTGGATGAGGGCGGCGACCGGTATACCAACAGGGCCGCCCTGCTCTCCTCTGGCCAGGAACACTGTGAGCGCATCAACTTCCACGTGCTGGTGAGCTGGATGCCCTGCAGCCCAGAAGCAGAGCCCAGGCTCCTCCAGGAAGGGAGCAGAGCTGGAGGAGGTGCTGCCATGAAAAGGCAGAGAGTTCAGCTGGTGCCAGGCTGATGCTGAGCCCCCAGCAGACCTCAGGAGGCCAGCAGGGAGCAGTGTCCTGGGCCTTGGCCACCCACACTCATACCCCAGAGCAGAGGCCACTGGGTCACACTGCTTCCCCACCTCACTGGACCCTCATCTGAAATCCCCTTTGCCATCTCCCAGATGCCCACCATTGCTTAAGCAGGGAGTGAAATCCAAGGAGGGAGGTCAGCTCAGTGATGTCTTACAGAGAGGATGGGGGTCAGGGGCCATGGCTCAGAAGGAAGGGATAAGCAGGCATCAGCTAAAAAGGAAGACCAAGGAAGGTGGACCAGTGGCATGAAGAGGCTGGGGGGAGGAACAGAGGCCAGCCTGGCAGAGGGGGGGACCAGTGGGGGCCAATTCCTCCACCCAGAAACTCCAGACACCCAGCCACAGCTCCAGTCTTGGAGACACAGACAGGGAACACTTAGAGCCTGCTTGGCCTCAGTATCCAATGAGCAAAGATCAGAAAAATAAGGAGTCCTAGCGTCTGTTAATGTGTTGCCCCTATGGTGTGTCTGTGTTCTCAAAGTGGGGCCCCCAGACCAGCAGCATCGTCATTATCTGGGAACTTATTAGATATGCCTTAACACAAGGAAGCCACTCATGTGAAGATTTGGGCTCCATGAGAGAGTCAGGGATTTTTCATCCAGCTCTGAGCGTCCCCTGAATGCCCCTATTCACGTGTCGTCTTTTGTTGATTTGACACATTTATTATAAGCTTGTTACAGTGCTAGGAGAGTGCTAAGAGGCTTCTGAGGGACTGGGACTAATACACAATCACATAGTCAGGATGCAATGCAAGAGTGTCAGTAACAGTTTGAACAGAGTGTGGGCACGTGTTGCTGCCTGGCTTCCTAGAGGCTGGGGGGTTGAAGACACAGGTTCCCAGCCTTGAAGGATGAGCCGGAGTTGGTGGAACATGCAGGCAGTGGGGCTGGCATACACGGACCCAAGGGCCCTTTCCAGGAGGCACACGCGCCAGCTACAAACCCATCTGGGAACCTCTGTCCACCCCCAGATGCTTAGGCTCCATGGACTCATGCTCAGGGCTGACAAGTTGTTGTCCTCCCAGCTCAGGGAGATGACAGTTCTCTCTCAGTGGCCCTGGCCCAGACATGAATGTTCCCTCTGCCTTCACCCCATCCTCATCTCCTCCCACACAGGACACCGCTGACTACGTGAAGCCAGTGACCTTCTCGATCGAGTATTCCCTGGAGGACCCCGACTACGGCCCCATGCTGGATGACGGCTGGCCCACGACCCTCAGGGTCTCGGTATGTCCTGGCACCCAGGGAAGCAGCTCTGGCACATACCCCACCCCAGCACTCGCCTCCTCCCAGAAGCCCAGGCTTTGTGAGGGCACACGTGAGTTCTTCTCCTGCTACACCTTCCCATCTCATGCCCCACAGACCCCCAGCATGTCCTTCTCTCCTTCCTCGTGACCTGTGTTGAGCAGTTTCTTAAGGGTAAGGACCCAGCCTTTGAGGTCTTCTGTATCCCCAGCAGAGAGTGAGCCCGGCATGGATCCTGAGAATCAAAGGACCACAGGGATTTTAGTTCTCAATCTTCACCTCCCTCATTTACAGATGAGGACATTGGAGGCCAGAGAGTGATTCAACCACAGAGCCTGGTCCGCACTGGTTGAATGATCGACTTATTGACAGTCCTCCCAGCTCCAAGTATGCCAAAAATAAGTCGTTTTAGCCTCATCAATGGCTCTGCACACCCCTCAGTCCACATTTTTCAATCCCTGGCTCTAGGAATATTGGAATTGTCTGGTATCTAATATTCAGATGCTCCCTACCTCTGCAACTCCAGATAAACCCTCACAAAGAAAACGTCAGGCAGTTATCATTTCGATCTAATCTGTTCTAGGAGAGAATGCAAAATAAACCCTGAGGATCTAGGAAACAACTTTCAAATATCCCACAGTGGTCTTAAGACCGTGACCCGTGAGTTCCAGCCTCTACACTGTCCCTGAGAGTTATATAGAACCCAGCCAGCAAACAATCTCAGAATTACTCACATGCTCTCCTGTGTTTCTCTGACATAAAAACACTGTATAGTCAACAGCAAGGTTTCTGAAGATCTCTGTTCCCATCTTCCCCCATCAGCCTCCCCCAGCTCCTTCCTCTTCCCAGAGCTGCCACATCTTACCACCTACCACCCACCTTCACACCTTCCCTCTTCTCCTGATTCTGAGTCACAAACATGTAAGTGAGAGTGTCTGAAAATGCAGTTCAGGAGAGGGGGGTGATACTGGCCTGGCAAGGCTGGAATCCTCCGTAGTGAGCAGGGGAAAGCTAGATACACTGAATCTTAGTATTTTTCCCATCAGTCATTACAAACCACTAGAGCTCATGAGCAGGTATGAGTCACTCATTCTATAAGCTTGTTGAAGCCCATGGCAGATGAAGGGGCAAGGTATTCTCTGATGCTGATGATACAGATGCAAGGTGGTGATCCAGGTCACAGGCCAAGTCAGAATAGGAATAAGCTCACAGGAAGTGTCATCATGCAATCAGATGATAGGGAGGGGGGATTCCTGGAGGGGGTGGCCTTCCCCTGGTCCTTTAATAGACATGAGATGGGGACAACAGGCTTTTATTCCAGGAAAGCTAACAGCATAGCCAAGGTGTGGATGTGGAAACAAGCAGGATGAAGGGATGTGTAAAGAAAAGATGAGAAATAGAGCTGAAACAGTCAGTCTGGGCATATTACCAAGGGCTTTGGATAGCAGCTAACTGTCTCAAAATCTTATTAATATAGATTTCTAGCCTCCAGCAAATTAGAAGCATTCTTCCCATCTCTCTGCTACAAGTTCTTATTTAGCTTCTCAATGCCCAGCACTGTTCTAATACCATAAAATCTTGCCTCTGGGGAGAATGAGCCACTCCATACAATTGAGTATAACAGATGCTTATCGTGTTAAATTATCCCTTTTAATCAAGTGGATAGAATTTTTTCTGAGGGTTATTCTATAGTTTTCACACTTAAACAGTATGCTGGGCAGGGGTGGGGCGTATTTCATTGGAGACTTGAAATCACCAAGGTGAACACAGAAGCTAGAATGCCGTGAAGTCCCTGAGGGCTTCTGAAGTGTCTGGAGTTCTCTCCTGTCATTGAATATGCCTCGATTTGCCCTCCTTCGTATAGCTCTGCTGTCTTCCTTGCTGGCTGCTTCAAGCTACAAATCCACCCCGGGATGGGGAAGCTGAGGAGCAGGCTTGATAGAAATGTGTCTAAAGCAAGAATACATGGATCTGAGAGAGGGCTTTCCTGCTGGCTCAGACAGTAAAGAATCTGCCTTCAATGCAGGAGACCTGGGTTCGATCCCTGGATGGGGAAGATCCCCTGGAGAAGGGAATGGCAACTCACTCTGGTATTCTTGCCTGGAGAATCCCATGGACAGAGGAGCCTGGCAGGCTACAGTCCATGGGGTCACAAAGAGTCAGACATGACTGAGCGACTGACACTTTCAGGGGGCTCCCCTCTGAGAAGTCAGTGACTGTAAGGGACACCCGGCCTCAGTGACACCAGCTTCCCCTCCTGTGACTTGAACACCCACCCACCTGCTGAGCACTTCTCCCCAGTGGGTCACAGGCACTTCAAACTCAGTCTGCCCCAAACTGATCGCCTCCACGTAACTCCTCCACTTATAAATAAATGGTGTAACCGTCCTTTCAGACACCTAAAAGGAAACTTGGCCAACGTCCGGGACCCTTTTCTCCCTTAGTCCTGATGAACTCCAGGTCCTGCTGCTCTATCTCTGAGGTTCCTAACCTGTTTCCCATTCTGCTCATCCACAACCACACCAACACCATCGTCATCTCTTATGTGAACATTGCAGCAGCCTCCTCAGTAGGGTCTTCAACATGCATGTCTAGGAGGACAGTTGAGGCTGAAAGCGGTCAGTGATTCCTATCAGTTGCAAGATACCACCCCCACAACGCTGTAGGACATGACTCCAGCCATCTCTCCATTTCCTGCACCCCTTACTGCAGCAACATTAAATAGCCATTATTTCCCAAACTTACCCTGCTGCCTCAGGCCCTTTGCACAGACTCATCCTTCTTCCCAGACTATCCTCCCCCTGGTCCATCCAGTTAACTCAGTCCTCCTCTGGAACTCTGACCTACTGTCATGTCTGTGAAGCCTTCTCAACCATCATGGGCCAAGATTGCTCTTTCCTCCCCCTGCCACTTCTATTTCTCATACAGATTTTGCATATTTCACACTGTAATTATTTGTTCACACACCCATCTTCCCCATGAGTTGAGGGCAGAGGCTGCATATCCCTCATCCTTTACCCCCAGGACCAGAGAGCTTCCTCCCCACAATAAGCACTCGATCAGTGTTGCTTGGCATCAGGTAAGTGGGTGTTCTGTGCTGGTACCTTGATTAGAGGATTGAAGGGGACCCAGGATGAGTTGAGTCTTGAGCCATGTTCTAAAGAAAGGACTCTCTATGCAAAACCATGATCAAAAGCAGCACGGTATCTGTGAAAAGGGCAGGAAAACCAAAGCCCGTGTCTAGTGCCACAGAGGGAGGAGCTGGTGTGCTGTGAGGGTAAGGGCTGACCCACAGGGAAGACAGGGGCTGGAGGCTGTGGGTGCCCTTCCCAGCCACCCACACCTGCCTCTCCCTGGCCCAGGTGCCCTTCTGGAACGGCTGCAATGAGGATGAGCACTGTGTCCCTGACCTCCTGCTAGATGCCCGCAGTGACCTGCCCACAGCCATGTGAGTTGGTTCCTCCTTTTGCTCGCCTGCTGGGATCTGGGCTTCCAGGGCCCTGGGTGACAATCTTGCACACGCTTCCCATAGGCAGCAAGGACCAAACACTGGACTTAGAGTATGGGTCTAGCCTAGGTTCTGCCTCTAACTCCTGTGTGACCTCAGGGAAATGCGTAGCCCTCTCTGGGCGTAAGTGACCGCCTCTCTAAAATGGATAGTTAGTCCAATCCAACCTCCTCAAACTTTGTTTAGAAAAAGAATCCTTTCTACACTATAAGCTGAGAAAAGTGGAGACTGAAGACCTAGCGTTCTGTGTTCATTATGCAACCCCCAGACTAGGTGACTTGTCAGGTCCTTGGACTGACCACTTGGGCTCAATGCTAAGGAGTTAGCAGGAGATGAGCAGGGTGATCATGATCCCCCGGAAGAAATAAACTAGCAGACAAGGGGAAATAATGATCCTATTTTAAATTTTTGTAATGTATTTTCAAAAAATTTATGCTTAACTTTTATTCAACTAGAGATGATTAGATAAACATATACTATAAATGGAAATAGTATAACACAATTATATACGTATATAATTATATATATTATGTTTATATATATATAAACAAGTATCTACTGTTAGGCACAGGAAACTGTATTCAGTATCTTGTAATAAGGACTTCTCTGACAGTCCAGTGGTTAAGACTCTGAGCTCCCGATGCAGGGGGTACCAGTATGATCCCTGGTCAGGGAACTAAGATCCCATATGCTACTTGGCACAGCCAAAAAAAAAAGTGTGTGTGTGTGTGTGTGTGTATAAAACCATAAAGGAAAAGAATCTGAAAGAGAACTTATATAACTGAATCATTTTGCTTACACCTAAAACTAACACAACATTGTAAATCAACCACACTTCAATCAAAAATACAAATAAAAAACAAATAATAGAAATAGTACAGCCAAACCTTGTAAAAAGGTGTAGAAACAGAGATTCTAACCAGCTGGGCTAAGATCCAGGATTGCCTCTGTCCTGAGCTCTGAGCCGCCTGGTAGCCAAAGCCAAAAGGGAAACACGCTGCCTGCAGGGGTGAGGCAGGCACACGGAGGTCCACCCGTGCCTTTCCCCTCCCGCGTGCCTGACCCCCGCCTGTCTCTTTCCCTCAGGGAGTACTGCCAGAGGGTGCTGAGGAAGCCTGTGCAGGACTGCTCCGCGTACACGCTGTCCTTCGACACCACGGTTTTCATCATAGAGAGCACACGGCGGCGGGTGGCTGTGGAGACCCTGCTGGAGAACAGGGGCGAGAATGCCTACAGCACCGTCCTCAACATCTCCCAGTCAGCAAACCTGCAGTTTGCCAGCTTGATCCAGAAGGTAAGATCCTGGTGGCCTGCCTGAGGGGAAGCGCAGAGGGGAGGAGGGGTCCAAGAAGGGGGCCTCACTGCCCTTTAGAATCACCTGGGAGCTTAGCGATAGATCGCTGTGTCCGGACTTCTGCCGGACGTCCTCACTGATGCGGTCTGGCTGGGGCCTGGGTCAGTCTGCTATTAACGCTTCCCGGGGATGGCAGTGTGTAGGCAGGGCTGAGAACCACGGGGAAGGGCAGTCTGAGCCTTTCAGAACCAGGAGAGGGACATCCTTCAGCCTGCACCCTTGGCCCTTGTTAGGGACACACACACATACACACCCATGTGTGCACACAACAGCACGTACACACCCTCTGCCTACAGCTCCCCCTCCAGACTCGCTCAGCAAAGCCCTTCTAACAAGAATCAGAACTGACTTCTCCCCCACATTAAAGCTTCGCGTGGGCCCCGTGCCATGCTCCCTGGGGTGGCTTCCTGAAGCCCCAGAAGGTCACACAGGGCCCCCCAGCCCGCACAGCCCCCAGCACAGCCTTGTGCCTGCTCCATGGAAATCATCAGTGTCTGAGCCCTGCCCTGCTATAACCCTGAGCTCCCGGAGGGCGAGCGCCCTTTCTCAGTCAGTCTGTCCCCAGGCCTGGGCATGGAGAAGTCCCTCGAGACGAGTCGGTTGAACAAACCTAAGACATTATTGTCACGTGTGGGTGCTCAGGGTCCCAGGCTCCGTCAGACACAGTCTCTGTCTTCACAGATCTCCCTGTGTCCACGTGGGGCCTGGGGGTTGCAGAATAGAACAGCCAGCCCTGTGTTCTCACCTCCACCACTCCTTCCTCACTGGCCTGGAGAGAGACCGGACGACCCCTCCCAGCCATACTCACACTCACACACACACACACACACACACATGAGCACACACTCTTCCCATAGAGTAGGAGGGGAAGCTGAGTGGAGTGAGGCTCACTAGAAAAGCAGGGGGCTTCCTGCCCTTGGTGGGTCCCCGCTGTCCTCAAATAGACCCCAGGTCAGTGCATAGGATGCACAGAGAGGTTGTTAGTGCAAAATCACTTCCTCTGCCAGGCCCAGGTCCTGCCCCACAGCCCAGAGTAAAAACGCCTGGCTCACCTGATAGTCTTTTAAAGGCCTCTCCTTCCAGAAGCTTTTATCTCCATCTGGACTTAGGGTATTTAGGGAAATAGAGCCCCAAACCTGCATCCATCTTTTCCTGCTGCCATAGCCCAGACAGTCCAAGACCAATCCCACGCCCGTTCCTGACCCTCACAGGAAGGAATCATGGTGTTTTATTTCTGTGACACAAAGGGACTTTGGAAATGTGTCCTGTGAAGGGCCATGTCCACATGCACATATACACGCGCACACACATGCACACATACACATGGCATATAGTATGTGAGTAGGGCTGGCCTGCAGCTTCACTCCTTCACCAGCACCACCGTCCATCCCCAGCCCAGGAGGTGCTCACAGCAGAAGCACCCCCTCCTTCCTCTCCCCATCCCCTACCATCCAACAAGGGGCCTCAAGTGGAAGAAGCCACTTTCTGGTGGTCTGAGCTGGTTACCTCCCATCTCTGGGGTTCACTGACCCCACCTGTAAGCTGGATGATAAGTCCTGCCTCCGAGCTTGATCCTGAGGGAGTGACACAGCATGCACATGAGTGCCTGCCCATTTTCTTCACAACTGGCACTGCTGGAACCAGCCCCTACTTCCCTGCACAGGCTCCTGCCATTTTCTGCACCCAGAACCATGCCACACCCAAGCTTCCAGGGGCTCTGGGCTTCCAGCCTCTGCAGCCTCCGCTGCAGCCTCAGCCTGGGCAGCTGGCGGCTGGGGGCAGGGGTGGCCCCCAGACCCGGGTCTCAGACCCCACTTAGCTGCTGCCCATGATGCCCCCACCTTCCCCCAGGATGACTCAGATGGCAGCATCGAGTGTGTGAACGAGGAGAGGAGGCTCCACAAGAAAGTCTGCAACGTCAGCTATCCTTTCTTCCGGGCCAAGGCCAAGGTAGAGACTGGGGCATGGTGTGCGTTGGGCCCAGGGCAGGTCAGACTGGGGCGCAGTGTGCGGTGGGCCCGGGGTGGGTCAGACTGGGGTGCGGAGTGCGGTGGGCCCGGGGCAGGTCAGGGAGGCACAGGGGGAGCAAGAGAAGTGGAAGAAAGCAGAGGGGCAGACTGGGGAGGGATGGACAGGCCTGAGGGTGGCTTTTAAATTAAGGTTTTTTTTTCTCCCATTAAATGACATTTGAATGACTTAATCAGCCAGCCACCCCAGGGCTGACAACACACTCCAGGAGAGCATGGACCCTCACCTCAGAGAATCCTGCCACTCCCACCCACCACTCCCCCACCTCCTCTTGGCCAGTTAGCCCTCTGTACTGTATCCTAGCACGTTTTTACTTTAAAAAAAAATTTTTTTTGGCCTCACCATGAGGCATGTGGGATCCTAGTTCCCTGACCAGGGATTGAACCCACGGCCCCTGCATTGGAAGCATGGAGCCCAACTGCTGAACCACCAGGGACGTCCCCCTAACATGTTTTTAAAATGTCCAGCCTCTGTCTCCCCAGCTGTGCCTGGGAGAGATGGGGAGGAAAATGAATGTTTTTTGAGCAGGTACCAAGTGCTTAAAAGTACATGTGAAAAGAGTGTAGGGTTGGGAGAAGCAACTTCCTGGGAAAGGGGAGTAGACTCCAGATTGTGGGGGCATTTTCCCATCCCCTGGGCGGCAGGCAGCCACTGAAGGTTCCAGAGTAAGGGAACACCTAACTAAGGCCAAGCTGCTTGTAAAGTGAGAATCAGACAGAGGAGAGCCTGAGTCAGGGCTAGCTGGAGAGCCGAGTGTGTTCCCAGCAGCAGAGTCTGCAAGCCTGGGGGACGGGGAGGGGTATTAAGGTTCCTTATAAAAGAACGTCTCTGGTGCCAGGCAGGTCAAGACTGTAGTGTTTGAGGTGAGACACTGGCACACTCAGGAATTCCTGGGTGAAGACCCAGGGGGAGCAGCACCCAGCCCAAGCTTCCCCACCCCACCCGTGGCCACTCGGGGAGAAAGTTCCCTCCATCAAGGTCTCCTTGGGAAAACCAATGAGGGTCAGGCCTAGGAGGAGCACCAGGGTTCTGTGCAAAGCCTCAGTATCACCACCAGGCGGGGCAGAAGGTAACAAAGAGGCTCACAGGGCACCCAGGCCCTTCTCCTGGGGGAAGACCGAGGGCAGCATGGGGACCGGGGCCATCGGAGTGGCGGGGGGCCTCTGGACAAGGAGACAGATGTGTGACTAGCCTGCTGAGTAGCCTGGGACAGCCTCCACCCTTCTCCACCGGTTCACATGCAAGAACAGGGAGTGCATGTGGGCGGTTTTACCACTCACTCCTGGCCCCACCTCCCATGGTGCATGGTGATGGCCTTCTCCCCTTCCTGCCATCAACTCACCCACCGAGAAATTCCTGCAGCAAGAGTCTGAAGTTGGACTTGCTGCCTTCTAGTAGTTAAAAGCAAAGGGAGGTGGCGAAGGGCTGGCTCCACAGCCGAGAAGCCCCATCTCAGGAGCTGTTCACCTTGGCTACGTCCCCTCCACAGCCCCCAAGCACAGCTCACATTACTCCAGTGCTTGGTCCTCCCTCCCCCAGTCCATTCCCCGCCGGCAGGGTCCACTGACAGGGCAGGGGCTGGGAGGGTGGGCCAGGGCTGCTGCGGGCAAGCAGTTCCCTGCCATCCCAGCTCCAGTGACTTTTTCTTTGCAGGTCGCTTTCCGTCTGGATTTTGAGTTCAGCAAATCCATCTTCCTGCACCACCTGGAGATCCAACTCACAGCGGGCAGGTCAGAGCTGGCCCACTCCTTTTCCCTCCCCACTCGCTACTCTGAGGCCCTGTTCTGCCACTAGGAACTGCCCCTTCCTACACCAAATCCCCCATCCCTCGCTGCTCCAGCCTGGGAGGGCCCCAGGTTAGTTCCCAAGTTCTGGCGAGCCTGCTGCACTGCCACTCTTCTTCAGCTTGGATAGAAATAATAATACCCTTACCTTTATATAGCAGTTACATAAAAGCCCTACAGTTGTGAAGCACTGGGCAGGTATTATCTCAGTCAGTCTTTACAGCAGCCCCTTAAGACAAGCAAAGCAGGACTTATTCCCATCCCACCTCCCAGGTAAGAAAAAGCTCAGAGAGGTTGAGTGAATTACCCAACAACACACAGCATGTAAGTAGCACAACGGGAAGTTAAACACTAGATTTCCTACTCCTCCCATCCAAGCACTAACCAGGTTCAACCCTGCTTAGCTTCTGAGAAGGGACGGGATGGGGTGCGTGCAGGGTGGTATGGCCATAGACAGATTTCCTCCTCCTTATCCGGTGCTCTTTCTGCCCTGGCCCCTTCTCTCCCCTTGGAAAGTTCCAGTTTTTAAAGACCTTCTCTTAACTGTGGATCTGTCTGTCTGTCTCACAGGCTTCCCTGAGGCAATTCGCTGTAGGTTGACACCATGAATCACCCAAGTCAGTAATAAACACACAAAGGCAGGAAGGGATTCTAGCTGTATAAGGCTTTATAAACCCTCCTGAGAACTTCTCCACACTGGAAATAAATCCGGCAGCACCAACATTTCAGCATACACACGAGTCAGCAGTCACAAAGTGCCAGTGATCCACACTCAGTGTAGTTAGCCAATCTGTGCACTTTGGTGGAATGCTCACCTGCCAGGAGGTAAAGATGTGTTGATATCTTGAGGCCTCCCTCTAAGAAAACAGCCCCTTCTCACAGGCAATGAACATCCTTGCCTTCAGTCTCCTTGGCAGTGTGGCTGCTGGCGGGTACTTGTGAGTTGGCTGTGTATGCGTGTCAGACTCCCTTTTCTAACTAAGCACCTCTCTGGGGTAAAGCTTCCAAAGGAAATCCAACTTCATGTACCTAATGAGCAGAGATTGTATCTCTCTATGTCTAAAATGATCTGCCCCAGTGGTTTGAGGTGCTCAGAAGTAAAGGGAAGCGTGTTTGACAAAACTCTCTCTAATGCCTTCCTGGTCTTTTCAAGGCAGCCCACAGCCCCTCAGCCACCCTATGGGAGCTGCCCAACCTGTACCTCAGAAAGGTCAATTCCAGAGTCAGTAAACGCTCTGCTTTGAATTAATTCCTCGTGCTCCTCCCCTCCCCTGGGCAGAGCCTTGCCCCACAAGCATCATCCCCACCCCCGGGGCCCCCAGCACAGGACTTGCCCGCTGACAGATAAGAGGGGACACAGGCTGCTGGGACCAAGCTGGCACTGTCCTCCCAGCCTCCAGCCTGGATGTGCTGCGCCCAGGGAGAGGGCAGAGAAAGCTGAGGTCCAGGTCCCCCACCTCCCCAGCCTTTCCCCTCCCGGGAGACACCTCCGATAGCTGCCCGCCCCCTTGCCCCCGGGCTGGCTTCTCTGGAGCCACAGCCCTAGGCCAGCTGGGAGGCTCCTTCTCGGCCTGGCTTGGATCCCCCCAGCCGCCCTGAGCCAGTCGGGGTGCTGGGGCTGAGTGGAGCTGCAGGTGCTGCCGGCTCTCCTTGCAGTGACAGCGATGAGGAGGAGAGCACCAAGGAAGACAACACGGCCCTTCTGCGCTTCCACCTCAAGTATGAGGCCGACGTCCTCTTCACCAGGTGGGCTGGGCCCCGGGGCCCCTGTACCGAGGTGCTCGGAGATGCAGCCAAGTGTGTCCCGAGGAGTGCAGCGCCCCGTCCATGAAGGGGAGGCGGTGTCCGTTAGAGGAGGAGGCACAGACTTGGTCCCCAGGGAGCTCCCCACAGGGGGCACCCCAAAGGCTGGGGCCGCAGGTGGTGTCCACCCAGGAGAGACTGCAAGTGGGGACCTGCTCAGCAGAGAAGTCAAAACTGTAACAGAACTTGCTAAAAAGTCCATCTGCATTTCACTACCACCTCCCACTGGCAATTCTAAACAGTGTCAGTGAGAAAATGCTCCCCCTCCAGGGCAGACTGCTCCCACCACCCCCTCCCTCAGTCTGCCCCTGGCCCCCAGTCTGCCCCCCTCCACTTCCCAGAGCTCCCAGGTAGGTGGAAAAGTCAGGAAGTAACAGCAAACAGAAAGCTCTGGCCCTCCTTCAGCCAACACTAGAGGCTGGAACAGTGCACAGTGGGCAAGTTTGTGATCGAAAGAGGCCATGCCCCTGGGCAGGAGGCAGGGACTGGGATGGCAGAGAACTGGCCCTTCTGATTCATGCCCATCCCACACACCAGCAGACATTGCTAACTGATTTGTGTTTATTCCTGCTGAGCCTCAGAAGCCTTCCCAACACAGCCCTCCCAATGGACACATGAGGAAACCTGTTTGCTGTGGTCTGGGGGAGGCGGGAGCATGCCCACACCTCCTTTCGTTCATTTATCCATCTTGCCAACATGACTGAGCACACAGCATCCACGTCCTCTGTCCCTGCAGGAGCAGCAGCCTGAGCCACTACGAGGTCAAGTCCAACAGCTCCCTGCAGAAATACCATGGCACTGGGCCTCCCTTCCACTGCGTTTTCAAGGTTAGGCTGGAGGGCAGCCAGGCAGACAGCAAAAGACAGGAGCTGAGAACCCCTGTTTGGGAGGGAAGGAATCTGAAAGCATTGCCAGTGCCTAGATTTCAGCCTCAACCCTCCCACCCCTTCACTGTGTGACTTTAGGCAAGTCCCTCCCCCTCTCTGAGCCTCTCAATCCTCATCTGGAAAAGTACAGGGCTAGACTGGGAGGATGTATCAGTGAAGATTAGGTGCATCTGTTTATGATTTTTTAAATATGAAAAAACAATGATATATATAATGCTCTGGGGTTTATTCTCTCCCATAAAAAAGAAGTCCAGAGTTGACAACTTTACAAAGTCCTCTGGGACTGGGTCTCCTGTGTCCACTCCACCATCCTCAACACGTGATTATCAACCTCTCAAGTTCACCTCATAGTCCAAGGTGACTGCAGCTCCAGTCATCACATCCTCATTCCAGGAAGAAGGAAGGGGAGAAGAGCATGCAAGACCCCTCCCTGAGGAACCTCTTTGGCACTGCCTCACACCTCCAATTACTCTCATTGTCCAGAACAGTGTGATTCAGCTGTACGGGAGGCTAGGAAATGTGCCTTTTGTCTTGGTTTCTGTCACTAAGGAAGAAGGGAGAAGGAAAATTAGGAGGCATTTAAGAGTCTCTGCCCCATGATCTTCCCAGCCCTGAATTGTTAGGCAAGAGTTGGTATCAGGCAGACAGCTAGAAACACACAGATACCTCGATGACTCATCCAAGAAAGGTTTAGTAACCTGCCCAAGGCTACACAGCTCATCTGTGGCAGCAGCCCTGGGTTATGTGTTCAGCCTTTCTGATTCCAAAACCCTGCGTGTAATCACTGCAGCCCTGACACTGAATGAGGTGATGAGATGGTCAGATGGCATCACCGACTCAATGGACATGAGTTTGAGTAAACTCCAGGAATTGGTGATGGACAGAGAGGCCTGGTGAGCTGCAGTCCACGGGGTCAAAAAGAGTCAGACTTAACTGAGTGACTGAACTGAACTGACACTTAATGTGTCACGGCTAGAATGTGCACCAGTGCACACTATTTACATCCTGCATCAGGATGTAATCATTACATCTGGATGTAATGATTACATCCGTTAATGGTTCTCTCTCATAATAAAGGAGTTGCTGTCACCATCTCCACCCAGACCTCTGTCCAGGGCAGCACCCAGCACCATAGCCAAACGAGGGTGAAAGGGGGAAGTAACCCTTGCTCTCAGCCTCATCGCCCCCAGTGGCCATCCTCAGCCTCCGGGAGCCCGTCCCTTTCAGCTTTCGTGCGGTTTCCTTCCTGCAGCCCCCAGCCAAGGTCTGGAAGAGCCTTAGAGCATCTACAGCGAGAGGGCCAGGGAGCTTGAAGGAACTTGTTTCTCAGGCCCGGCTGGGGTCGGTGGGGGGGCTCACCCCATGGACCTTGTCCCCCACCACCCAGCCGCTGCTGGGTGTGCTGACACCTCCCCCGCTCCGGCCGCAGATCCAAAACTTGGGCTTGTTTCCCATCCACGGGGTGATGATGAAGATCACCGTTCCCATAGCCACCAGGGCTGGCAACCGGCTGCTGCTGCCGAGGGACTTCCTCACCGACCAGGTACCCGCGCCCGGGGGCTGGTGGGAGCGGACCAACAGACCCCGGGTGTGCCCTCGAGTGCCCGGACCTCAGCTCCTGCTCCCGGGCCCGGCCGGCGGGGCCTTCCCTGGGCAGAGGAGGACAGAGGATGGCTCGGGCTGCTGAGTCTGCCAGGGCTGCTGTGAGGCTGGTGGCCTGTTTCCTCCTGCAGGTGAACACGTCCTGTAACATCTGGGGGAACAGCACGGAGTACCGGCATGCCCCGACGGAGGAGGACTTGAGTCGGGCCCCACAGCTGGTGAGCGTCCCACACCAGGAGCCCCCGGAGGAGGAGAGGGGCTGCCTGAGCTCCTCCTCCTGTAGTTTGTCCACAGGAGCTTGTGGAGCCTCTCTCTGTCCCAGCCTCAAACTGAAAGGAAACAGAAAAGATACTTCGTATCCTTAGTGGGCTCACATCTCATGGGAGACATGAGGTTGAGTGTAAAGAAGCCAGGGATGAGGCTGGAAGACCCAATGAGGGGCAGAGGAGCAGACAACCTTGAATAAGAGGAGCAGGGAGGCTTCCCTGGTGGTCCCGTGGCTGAGATTCTGTGTTCCAAATGCAGCGGGCCCTAATTCGATCCCCAATCAGGGAACTAGATCGCACATGCCACAGCTGAAAAGGTCCTCCATGCTGCAGCATCCTGTGTGCCATAACTAAGACCCAGTGCAACCAAATTAAAAAAAAAAATCGAACAGAGATCATGGACTTGCCCCTGTGCCTAAAAGGGCTAGTAGGATATGGACAAGCAGAGGGAGGAGGAAGGAGCCAAGATGGAACAGCATAACAGAGGCCAGACCCCACAAGGCTTGTGCTGGAAACACTGACCGTATCAGCCGGGGCCTCCCTGTCCCCAGAGATAGAAGGCTGTGCTCAGTAGATCAGTCATGTCCAACTCTTTGCAACCCCATGAACTGTAGCCCTCCAGGCTCCTCTGTCCCCGGAATTTTCCAGACAAGGATACTAGAGCGGGTTGTCATTTCCTTCTGCGAGAGATCTTCCTGACCCAGGGACCAAACACTCGACTCTTGCGGCTTGTGCATTGGCAGGCGGAGTCTTTACCTTTAGCGCCATCTAGCAAGCCTGCAACAGAAGGCAGCCCAATTTCAACCCCCAGGTCCTCTCAGGACGCCTGCTAATGTCCAGGTTTCCGTTCCCGGGGCCACCTCGGCCCCACGCACCGATTTCTGAGTATGCTTTCATGATTCCTTACCCAAATAAAAATCTTCGCTGTTTTCATTTGATTTCCCCAAACAACACATCTTTGGAGTGTAGTGCACTGTACTGAAGACAAACTTGGGTGGGGTGAGGTGGCTGCAAGAGAGCCACACAAGTGAGTCTATCCTAATAAATCCTAATTATTTGATGATATGTTTGGGTTTTCTATTAGGATAGTGTCATCTGCAAGTAATAATAGTTTTAGTTTTACCATTCAATTCTTTTAAATTGTTTTTCTTATTGTTCTGGCTAGGAGCTCCAGGGCAATGCTAAACAGAAATGATGACCATCTTGTCTTGATTCTGCTTTTAAAGGAATTATTTTTAGTTTTTCATTGTGAAATGTAATACTTGATGTAGTTTTTCTTTTTTTTTTTTAATAAGCACTCTTATTCAGATTCAGGAAGTTCCCTGGTATTTTTTATCACAAACAGAAGTTGGATTTCATAAAATGCTTTTTCTGCATCTGTTAAAGTAATGTATCACTTTCCCTTTAATGTGTTTGTAGGGGGATGACATTTATAGGCTCTCTAATGTTGACCTAAAGTTCTGTTCCTGGAATACATCCAGTACCACACAACTTCAACTGGAGCATCGGATATATTAATACTATCCCTGCCTTGTCCTCCAGCCAGCCCCGGCAGCCCCAGCCCCTGTGTCCTCCACCCTCGCCTCCGTCCTTGTCCCCTGTCTTCTGTCACCCTTCCCTGGGCACAAAACCCCACTTGGTCAAGCTGGGCGGCTGAGCCATTTCTCTGGTGGCCAAGCCCCTGCTCACCCAGAGACCCTCCTCTTTCAGAATCACAGCAACTCTGATGTAGTCTCCATCAACTGCAACGTGAGACTGAACCCCAACCAGGAAATCAATTTCCATCTGCTGGGGAACCTGTGGTTGAGGTCCTTAAAAGCAGTAAGTAGAGCTCCAGGGCCAGGCTGGAGGAGATGGGTGCTAGGGAGTCTCTCCAGGGGAGGGGCCAGCTCCTGACAAGGCCTCTGATTACACAGCTCAAGTACAAGCTGATGAGAATCACGGTCCACGCCGCCTTGCAGAGGCAGTTCCACAGCCCATTCATCTTCCGCGAGGAGGATCCCAGCCGCCAGGTGAGCACTCTGAACCCTGCAGACCTGGGCTCGTGCCAGGCCAGCTTGGGGAAGGGTCATCCCTTCCCTTTAAAGTTTCCCTACTCCCCCTGCAGGAGAGAGATGGACAGGCCTGCCGGCAGTTTGCAACATCAGAGGAGAGGGGAAACAGAGAGAGACAAACAGGCCATTGGGACAAAAGTGGGGAAGAGGGGACCAGAAATAGGCATTCATCACCCTGTATCAGGGGTGGGGGGTGGGGGGTGGTCACCAAGCTCTGTACCTCCACAGCTCCCCGGAGGCAGAGGAAGGAGGGACACCTGTGTGTTTTACACTGGAGGGAGCAGAAGTGCTGCCCAGGCTGCCTGCCTCCTGCCTTGGGGCAGCGAGGCTGGGTCTTGGCAAACTCGTAGCCTAGAATGGCCAGCCAGTCCTCCCCTTCTCATCCGTCCACACCTCAGATCTAATGAATGAAGGCTGTTGCAAACTGAAATTGTGAAGACCAAGGGGTGGGAGCAGTCTCTGTATTGGGACTCTTTTTTAATTGAGTAAAGCCAGTTGGCTTGAATCAGGGTCCGGGAAAGGAGCAAAGATCCAGGTGGTGCTCCCGGAAAGATGAGAAATTGGGTCTTGAAATGAAGGTGGGTGCTCTGGAAGGAGCTGGGCATCTTGGGCGTGGGACGCTGCTGCCCTCCGCTGGCCACATCCCTGAACTGTGGTCTGGGCTCCGGGTGAGCCTTCTATCCCAGGTGCCCAGTGAATCCACAGCCCCGTCCCAGGAGATGCTGGAGAGCAAAATACACCAGGTCAGGAAGCCAGACCTTAACAAGTCACCAACGTCGATCCCAAACAGCGTGGGGGTGTGCCAGGCAGCGAGGGAGCAGGGGCAGAAGCCCAGGAGTGGCACTCAGGGCAAACACCCCAGGAGCAGTTGTACTTCTTCCTCCTTCAGCGCTTGTCAGGTTTTCCTCCTGTGACTCAGCCCCCACCACAGATTAACGAGGACAGCGAAGTGTGGGTGCAGTCTGAGGATGAGCCCAGGTCAGAGCAGGGCGTGTCCAGGGAAGGCTTTCTGGAGACAGTCCACTTGATCTGAATCTTGGGAGACATGCGGGAATTTCCCAGGCAATCAAGTGAGAAGTGTGGTGCAGACACCACACACTTAACAACCCCACTCTCCACACCAGTTCATCTGTCAATTACTAGTTTGTGATTTCTCCTTCCACTCCCACCCCTCACCCCCCAAAGCCCCTCTTATACTCTCTGGATGCCTCACTTCTCTTAGAAACCCAGTCACCCCAAACTTAAGCCCCTGGTGGTTTCGCTCTGTGCAAGGTGCCAGTGTGGGAAGGCAGAGCCAGGTGCCAGCCTTCAAGGATGGAAAAAGCTCGAAGGGACCTGGAGCCCTGACTAGGTGCCCTGTTCCCTGCTCACCACACATGGCTCTGTGAGGGACGTCCCTGTGGCCACTTTGCAGATATGGAAATGGAGGCTGTGTAAGGGAAGGCAGAGGAAGCGGGCTTTCCTACTGAGCAGTCCGTGGCCACGCCGGGTTCTGCTGCCATGCTCTCGAGGGGTGCATTCATTCAGGCTTGCAGCGAGGTGACTGAGCTCCTGCTCTGCACAGGCCCTGTTCCACACACTGAGGACAGAACAGCAACAGAACAGATAACCCCTGCTCTCCTTGAGCTGACCATCTGGACCGGGGTGGGGGAAGAGGCAGTCAGTGAACACGAGTACGGTGTCAGTGGTGATAAGCTCTGCCCAGAAAAACGCAGATGCATAACGGTGGAGAGGAGGAAGTGCTGTTTTATACAGTAAGCCTGGGGGAGGCCGATTCCATAAAGGGACAGAGAACACAGTGGGGGAGCACAGCGGTGGGGGAACACAGCGGTGTCTTGTGGCGGAGCCCCGCCAGCAGAAGGAACAGAGCTCAGAGTCCCAGCAGCAGGCGTAGTGCTGGGCGTCTAGGTAGTCAGGTGGTGGAGTTAAGAGCAAGGGACAGAGCAGGAGATGAGGCTGGAGAGATTAAAAGGGCCAGAGGGTGCAGGGCCTTGCAGGCCGGGATGAGGACTCTAATTCTCACCCTGAGTGAGATGGGAAACCTGGGGAACCCAGCAGAGCAGAGCATACATCCCCTGCCTCCTCTGGCTGCCGGGAACAGACTAAGGAATGAGATGAGGAATTTGTGTGAGGACCTGCTGTTAAAGGTACCAGGTGGCCGCGTGGACCGCCGGATGTGAGTCAGGAGTGCAGTGGGAGGTCTTCCCTGCTGGCCCGGTGGTTAAGAACCCAAGCTCCTAATGCAGGGGGCCCAGGTTTGATCCCTGATTGGGGAACTAAGATCCAATAGGCTGTGTGGTGGTGGTGGTTTAGTCGCTAAGTCGTGTCTGACTCTTGCGATCCTATGGACTATAGCCTGTGTGGCATGGCCTAAAAACAAAAACAAACAAAAATAGTTTTAAAAAAGTGCAGTGGAGAGTCCAGGTAGAAGGTAGAAACATGAGTGCATCAGCTGGCATAGAGATTGTTATGGCCTTCCCCAGAACTGTGTTAGGGCTTTTCTCCAAAAACAGGAAAAAATAAATTATTTTATGACTCGGTCTGTAAAAGAAATAAAATCCAGGCAAGATTATATTTGTTTTTTATTCTAACTTTAAAGGAAATTAGAACATTTTTGTGGGCCCCTAAAAGTACTGTGAGTTAGTCACTCAGTCGTGTCCAACTCTTTGTGACCCCATGGACTGTAGCCCGCCAGGCTCCTCTGTCCATGGAATTCTCCAGGCAAGAATTCTGGAGTGGTTGCCATTCCCTTCTCCAGGGGATTTTCCTGACCCAGGGACTGAACCTGGGTCTCCTGCATTGCAGGCAGATTCTTTACTGTCTGAGCCTTCAGAAGCACTGCGGGCCCTTGGCACTGTGCCCACTGCACCTACTTCACCAGGCAGCTCTGAGGGGGAGTCACGGAGTGACTGGAGACAGAGAGGAGGTCCACGGAGAGCGGGATGGGATGAGTTGGGAGATTGGAATTGACATATACGCACTGCGGATACTGTGTATAAAATAGACAACTAAGGAGAAGCAGTGGTGTAGCACAAGCTCTACTCCATGCTCTGTGCTGACCTAAATGGGGAGGAAATCCAAAAAAGAGGGGACACATGTACACATTTAGCTGATTCACTCTGCGGTAGAGCAGAAACTCACACAAGACTGTAAAGCAACTATACTCCAATGAAAAATACTTTAAAAAAGATGTCCAAGGACAGAGCCATGGGACACACCAACACTTAGGAAGCAGCGGGAAATGAAGCAAGAAATAGGAGCCCGTGTAGAAGGAGGAGGATCCAGGCAGAGAAGTGGCCCAAACCAAAGCAGGAAGCGTCTCAAAGAGAAGGTGGGATCGCCTGGCCACTTAAGCCAGGGGTCCCCCGTGCCAGACGGGGCGCTCTGAGGCCGCTCAGCAGGCCGCGTGCCACCCAGCTCTGCAGCCTCCTCCAGGGGAGGGGGACGCAGCTCTCCCACCAGCGGCCGGCTGTCTCCTGCCCTCCTTCCTGCCCCAGGCTGCCGCCCGCCTGGGGCCCCAGGACAGCAGTGCTGTTGATACAGCCCCACCGCTCCCCTTGCAGATCACGTTTGAGATCTCCAAGCAAGAAGACTCGCAGATCCCCATCTGGATCATCGTGGGCAGCACCCTGGGGGGCCTCCTGCTGCTGGCCCTGCTGGTCCTGGCGCTCTGGAAGGTGAGGGCCCCGCGGTGGGGGACGCAGCACCCTGGCTGTCCCGGCCTGGGGCCCCAGCCTCTGAGCTGTGTGGCCGGTGCCCACGTGCTCCTCCTCGTGGGAGCAGGGCCCGCCCAGCCTCCTCCCCAGAACGCGCCAGCTCCTCACCACAGCAGGCAGATGGGCCACCAGAGGGCACTCAACCTGTGGCTCCAGCCCTTTTGTGGGTCCCCTTCTGGGTCCCTGATGAAAGCCAGCCTTCCTCTGATCAGAAAAAAAAGCAAGCACACACAACCACAGAATTTCTCCAATTTAATGTCAGGCTGTGAAGAAATCCCTTAGAAGCCTTTCTCTGTCTCTGAGCCTCAGGTTAAGCAGCCCCAGTCTCAACCTCCTCCTCCTCGAGATCAGGCGAGGGGGTGCCGGGAGAGGGTAGTGACTCGGGCAGCGTCAAACAACACGACTACCTGCCTCTGGGCATAGGCTCCATCCGCTTGGTTCCAGCCTCCGTGTCACCAGTGAGGAGGCCCCTTGCGCCGCCTGGCAGCTGGCGGGGGGTACTCAGCGTGAGCAGGGGAGGCATTCAGGGAACGCCTCTGAGGAAAGAAGCCCCAAGAGGGTGAGTGGAGGGCGGGAGACAGGCCTTGTCCACCTGCCCCTCCCTGACATTCCTCCCTTTGCCTCCCCGCAGCTCGGCTTCTTCAAAAGTGCCAAGCGCAGGAGGGAGCCCGGCCTGGACCCCACCCCCAAAGTGCTGGAGTGAGGCTCCTGAGGAGGCCGTGAGTGGATGGCGGCCGGGATGCGGGCCCAGCCAGTGTGCAGGCCCGGAGCCCACCGAGCTGGGGCGGAGAGGACACCAGCTCACTTTGCACTTGACCTCATCTCCTGAAAGACCGAGTCCGCTCCCTCTGAAAGGAACTCGAGTCAGTTTTCAGAGGGACTGTCCTACTGGGAGCCGCAGCACCTCCAACACAGATCCCTAGGGACTTAAAGGGACCCTCCCCCAAGGTACACCCCAAAGTCACCCCCAGACTGTGCAGGGGCATTGCCACCCCCACCACTAAGGTGCTAGGAAGTCGTCATCACCCCATCCTCAGATGAAACCCGGAGAGGAGACTACAAATGCAAACGCACGCTGCCTTCTCCGGACCTGTAGTTGCAGGGGGGAGCGGGTCTGTATCCTGTGCTGACCCCACCCCTACGCTGCCCACAGCTCCCGGTCACCTCACCCCTTCCTAGCCGGAGATAGGTCCCTGGAGTGCCCCCTGAGTGAGGGCCCCCGTGGTGGCAGCTGCTGGCCAGGATGAAGACAGACTCTGGGAGGCAGAGACTGTGATGGACAGGCAGCTGGGACCTAGGAGAACCGAGAGGGGGGTGCGGGTGGGCTCTTCCCAACCCCCACCTGCGTTCACCTGGCTGACACCCACACCCCCTCCCATGGTGCTCACAGCAGCCCCGGGCCTGTAGCTGCCGCCCCTCCCGCTGCTTTCGTTGTCCCTGGGCGCCTGGCGGAAGCCTGTGGATGCTGCAGTCCCCAGGGCTCCAGTTCTCACTTCTCCTTCCCCACAGCCTGTCCTGAGGCAATGGCTGCAGGCTGGGGGCAGGGGTTGGGGGGCCTCCCTGCATCACCCCCCTCCCTACACATACACACACAGCTTCCCTGCATCACCCCCCCCCACACACACACAGCCTCCCTGCATCACCCCCTACACACACACACACACACACACTCACAGCCTCCCTGCATCACCCCCTCCCCCCCCCCACACACACCCTCCCTGCATCACCCCCTCCACACACACACACACACACACACACACACACACACAGCTTCCCTGCATCACCCTCTCCCCACACACACACACACACACACACACACAGCCTCCCTGCATCACCCCCTCCACACACACACACACACAGCCTCCCTGCATCACCCCCCCATACACACACACACACACACACCCTCCCTGCATCACCCTGTCTCCTCTACACATACACACACACACAGCCTCCCACCCCTCCCTCTCACACACACACACACTGTCTCTGCATCACCCCCTCCCTACACACACACACACACACACACACACACACACACACACACCCACCACCATCCCCACCTCCAGTTCCTCCCTTCTGCTCACCCATCACCCGTGCCCGGGAGCAGGGCTGGACCAGTGCTGAGGGTTCTCCACGGAACATACTGGATAAAGCCAGTGCAGGGACCTCCGGAGCCTGTGCAACCTTGGTGGCAAATATCTGATCGGCCAGCCCCTGGGACAAGTGGAACCACCAATGATGGTGCCCCGAGGACAAGAGGCACGCCTGGTGCCCAGCCGAATAATTTATGCCTTGACCTGGTCTTGAGGTAGGAATGAAAGGGGATCCATCAAAGGCATCTGTCCCCTGACACACAGTACGACCTTTACTGTCGTAAATATTTTTTAAAAAATTTTAAAAATACAGTGTTTAAAAACAACCAAGAGGCTGCCATCCTTTTGTGGGCAGGACACATCCTAGTGAGCCACGCTCTGATGATGGGAAGTGGATGAGGGGCTCCCTATCAGGAAGGGGCGTGTCCACCCCTTGCTCCCTACAACACCCCCTGCCAGGGCCACCTGGTCTAGGATGGACATCTCAGTGATGGGTACTCCCTCCCTCCCACGCCCACTGTTCCTTCTTTAGCCAATGTAGATGGCTGAAAACACGTATCACTGCAGCTTCTACCCCCTCGTTCCTTCTCTTTTCTCCCAGACTTCCCTAGGCTGACATCTCGGTGCCGATTTTCAGACCCTGACTTCTGGTTTCTTCACCTTTACCCACAAGCGACTCTTAAACTTAGTTGTCTCCATGCTGGTCTCATGCCACTGGAATCCCAAGAAACCAGTAGGACCTCAAATTTATTTGATCCCTTTCCCCCATAGAGGAGGACACTCGGAACTAGGGAAATGAAGAGACAGCCCCCAGTTCCACAGCATTTCAGACTAATTCCAGGACTGCTGTCCCTCAAGCCACACTATCATTCTCACCCAGTCTTAGAAGCGTTTGAACTGAAGAAGTAGAAGGAATTGATATGCAGTCACTTCTGACTTGTCATGGGGATACTTTTCTCTTAAACAGTGAAACCAAAATCAGAAGGTAGTGTTTAAAAATCATATTTCATTTGAGTCGTCACCCTCATAAGTGGAGTAATGACCCCACACCCAAAAGTGCATTGTTTGATCTGGTAGCAAGTCTACTGAAGAACACCGTTGACTGAGAATGCTTTCATATGAAACCTTTTAGAAACTGGCATTCATTTTTAAAATCTGCCTTGTGCTGTCACACCACAGGCCACACAATGTATCTATAGGTCAGATGCAGCCCAGAAGTCACTGAATTACAACCTCTGGACTCAGAGGCCATCTTTATCTCTGGGATGTCACAGTCCCTCCATGCCCTCCCCTACCTGAGGCAAAGAACAACTTAAGGGTCAAAAGGTAGAAAAAGTGGGAGACTTGTCTGAACCTGCAGGGCCTTCAGCCCTCACACTGTGTTGCTCTCGTCTTCTCTGTCTTAGCAGGTCTCTCTTTCTGAAATTATTTGCTGTGGGGTATAAGTATCTTAAGGCATGACTGGCCTTAAGAGTGCTGGTAGGACAAGCAGAGAAGATATACTTTACAGGGAGCAAAGCCTCATGCTAGAGCAGTGTTTCTCAAGCCCGACTGCACAATAGAATCACCTGAGAGCCTTAAATGCTACCTGTGCAAAGGGCCCACCTATGGGGGTCAAATTTAGTCAGCTGGGAGAGGGGCCAGGGCATCGTTTGTGTCTGAGTTTCCCCAGCGACTCCAATGTGCCCATGAATATATAGGCTAGAAAACAAGAAATAAGGGGTTAACATGCACAAGTGAGCTTCCAGGCTGCGTATAGGGAACTGTGCCGTCAGGGTAATGCTGTTCAAGTTTACTCGGCTCCAGCCTGCAGTTTGAAAGACTTTCTCATTCCAGCAAGTCTCCAGAGTGTAATTTACTACAGGGGATCACCAGGGTCCTCAGAGCCCCAAAGGGCCTCATGGAGGAGATGGGGGCACATTTGCCAACATCTGGGGGTGGGGAGATGAATTGCAGTCTCTGAAGCATTTTTGGCATGGTGGCAAGCAGTTAAAAATGCAACTGCAAATCAACATGAAAATTCAAATTATGGTTCATTTGGGGAGTTATTAGCAATGCTCTATCTGGTAGTTAAGAGTAATTATTTATGGTGAAACTAAGGGTTGAACTCAAGAGTGTTAACATGAAGCATAACCAGCTTTAAAAGGGTTCAGTCTTTTAAAAGCATTATCAGCCCATCTGGCCTTGTGGTACTAAAGCAGTTCTACAGCACGCAAGGCAGCAGGCAGAAAACACGCCTGGGGCGAGGTCTGACTCTGCACACCAGATTACCAACTGCAGGTGGTTTTAGAATTTGCTCCTCAGATTGTCAGGGCTTCTTAAATTCTAGACTCACCGTCTACTAGAGGGAAAGGACCTCCAACCAAGTTATGAACTTGAGATGTGCACGATGTCCTGGGGGGCCTCCCTGTTGATTCTGACATGGTCAGACCCCATGCAGGAGGGCAAGAAAATCCAGGAGCTTGGGGCAGCCCTTGGGTAGCGCTGAGAGCAGCCTCAGGCCTCATGCTTTGACCAGTGCTCTGCGGGGACGTGGACCTCAAGTATGCTGTCCCTCAGTTTTGGCCAGCCAAGTGAGGAGAAATCCAGGTAAGAATGTGGCTTCTTTCTGGCATCAGGTGGTATGGGCGTGCAAGCTCGGAGGGCAAGATGTGCCTCTTAAAAATGAGTATCAATCCAGAGCTGAGCTTCTCCAGGTAGGGTCCCAGAGCCACCTACATCAGAACTACAGCCAGCATTCTACCCCAGACCTTAAGATCCAATTCTTGTGAGATCGTTTTAAGCACATTAAACTTATGAACCATAAGATACTGGTCTTCTCTAGACTTCAATGTCAATTTCTGGCAGCATGGCCTTTTTTACCTACCCTTGAGCCTATCAAAGTGGCAGTGGTTATTGGCAAAAACCCTAAAGGGGTGTCCTTCCAGTAGACCAGTGGAGTTTCTGGATTTTCCTTTTGTTAAGGAAGTTGGTATTTCTTAACAAGATGGGTATCAGGTAAAGGGGGCAAGGTGATAGCATAAACACAAAAGAGAGGGAGGAGAATTAACTTTTCTGGGAAATATGGGAGAGCTTCCAGGAGACCTAAGGTCTCAGGTCTTCAAAAGACAAGCTGCTCTCTCCACCAATGTTCAAGAGCTCTTAGCATCCATATTCTCCCAAAGTAAGACATTAGACTTTTGGCTTTAAGCCCCAAGACGCCAGGCAGGCTGTAATTGAAACAGCTGACTTAATCATGCTTCTTTTCTGGCACAATGACTCACTGCCTCCACACCCCACCCCAAACATGAAGTAGCCAGTTTCTCCACCAGATACGCCTTGGGTGATTGACTTGCTACAGCCATTAGCAGTGAATGGCCCTGTCTTCACCACACCAGACTTTGTTTTCACCTTCAACTAATGTCACATTGCCCTTTATTCTGCACTACTTCTTACCATTAAAAAAAAAAAAAAACCCAAGTTATCCTTATATTACTATTACTGTCAACTAGATCCCTCTCAAAGGACAGTCAAGCTTAATCGACCACATTAAATCTGCAGAGTGCTTTTGTGTCACTGTCTATTCCACTAGCTTTGACATCGCGCTAAAGTAGGACAGCATGTTCCAAACAGAAACTGAAACCAGAACAGAGGAGCTTTGCTGGTGTAGGGAGGGTGAGAAGCCTGGCACCTGGCCTCTCAAACTGTTCAATAAGATATAGGCTAAAATGTACCTAGCAAACACACGAGGCTCAGAGTAGGGTATGCACAGAAAAATGTTTTTAAAGATGGGGGCACCATTACTTAAGGACTCATCCTTTCTCGTCAGCTGTGCATGTTCTGTTCCTATCTCCCCAGCACTATACTAAAAAGGATGATGGTAAAGTTTTCTGAAACATTTTCAGGAGGTGGCCCAAGACAGAGTTCAAAAGTAACATTGTAAACTTTAAAAATTAAAATTTGTTGTCAGATTAAAAACAAAATTAAAATTTGAGGAAAAATAGAAAATCAGATTTCAAATAGTGGCATCTAGTTGGACAAAAAGATGATCATGGGCAGAGACCATAGTCCTTATTGTCCATTAGGTCCATATGGACCTTAGTCCTTATATGTGGTACAGAACATCCCCATATGTCCTATACCTATAACATTCCTAATACAGTGCTGACATACAGTAGATGCTGGATAAGCCTGAATTTCTGAGTTTTTTCCCATTGGTTAGGGCCAGAGCAAACCCGAGTCCTGCTCTCCAGATGAACTGAGCACACCAGATTTACCAAGCACAGGCAAATTAGAACAAATAATTTTGTCTAAGCTTGCCAAAAAGCCAAGATTTTGTGAGCCACCTGAAGTTTTTATCTCATACTGAAGTTTTCTAGATCAAGTACCTGATGAAATATATTCCTGCCAGCTTTTTATCTGGGCATCGGTTACTTTAATACAGCAGACATTACTTGAAACACAGAGGGAAAAAAAAAGAGAGAGCGATGCTTTAGAATTTGTCTGGATGACTTCTGCAGTCCAGTCGATATTGCTGCCCAACACAGATCTAGCAGAAATCCTAAGGTGAGCTTCTCTGGTTTCTGGTACTGGTGTGTCAGTCAGTCTTACAGCGAATGAGCACTGGTCAGTGGGTCAAGAAGCTCCAAGCCTACTCCAGGCCCTGACACTTGGTCCTTGCGAGACCTCGGATGAACAACTCACTTCTTTGTGAGCCTGTATCCTCAACTGTAAAGTGAGCCTGTAAACCCTAAATGATTTTTCAGACCGCTATAAAGGGACTCCCTAAATCAAATGTGAAAGCAAACAGTTGCAGAAAATGTGCTCTCATACCACCCTTTAATATTCTTCTGGTAATCCCAATGACTGTATTAGATAAAAGAAAGAAATATGAGGTATGAATACTGGAAATGAGAAGGCAAAATTATCATTACCTGTAAATTATGATTAGTATACCCAGGACATCCAAATGAAGCAACTGAAAAAAAATTTTTTTAAGGGAAATCCATTGAAATGCCTATATTGAAACATTAACATTTAGAAATATATACAATGGAAGAAAGGCTCCTATCCACATTATAAACAAAAAAACTAACAATATATTTTCAAGACCTTCTAAAAATAAACTTGTAAAACAATTTCTGGCTTGGGGACTTCCTTAGTGGTTCAGTGGTTGAGAACCCACCTTGCAATGCAAGGGACATGGGTTCAATCCCTGGTGGGTGATCTAGGATCCCATA